TTTTTTTGGTGGTACTGGGGATTGAAGTCAGGCCCTTGCACTTGCAGGCAAGCATTTATTCTACTGAGCCATTTCCGTGGCCCAAGAATTTAATTTTTAAGAACACAAATTATGAAACGTCCATAGTGGAATAATTGCCAGTTCTGTAACAGATGTGTTTAAATTGAATCCAGATAGTACAGCTTTTGAATCAGGGTGACAATAGCACTTTCTCTTCCAAAAGTCATTACCAAGTCTGCCTAATCAACAACTACAACTGTGAGTTTTGGCGCAGTAGACAGAAACCAAGACATCTTTATTTAGGATTAATAAGGTCTGGGCTTTGCAACCAAGACAGAAAAGGAAATGTGTTCTCCTATGAAAGACATAGAACTCACTTATTTAAAATACAAACCTCAATGGTTTTCAGTGTATTTACAGATATATACAATCACCACCAGAATCAATTCTAGGACATTTTCATCTTAAAAATAAACAAACAAACAAAATCCTCATGCATCTATTACTCCACACCACTGGAGCCTGCTACTCTACCCCTAAGCAACACTACTCTATTTTCTATTTTATGGATGGATGTCACTGTTCTATACTTTCATATGAAGGGAATCATGTAATATGTGGTTGTTTTGTGACTGGCCTTTTTCACTTAGAATGATGTTTTCTAGACTCCTTCGTGCTGTAGCACATAGAGCTTCTTCCTTTCCATAGTAAGTAGGAATCTACCCGCAGATCTACAACGATGTATCACTTGACAATGGAGACATTTGGAGAAGTGTGTTTGCAGGCAGCCATCATGGAGTGTACTTAACCTAAGATGACTGTGATGTCACTAGGTGACATAATCTTATGGGTCCAGCATTGTACATGTGGCCTGTTGTTGTCCCAAACATTGTTATGTTGCACAGGATTACACCATATTCTTTTTATCCATCCTGTTTATGTACTCATTCATGGAAAGACATTTGGGCTGTTTCCTTTTTTTTTTTGTAATTTTTATGTCAATTCAGATATTTCTGAAAGACTCAAAAAGCCTACATTAATTCTAGTATCAAACTTTCAAACACTTGTTTTTCATACTGTTAACAAGGATAGACTTATAATTGTGAACTTTTTACCAGCTTGGTTAAGAAAAAGGTCACATGATTTTGCTATGAAGGAGGAGGAAGCATGGTTTTTCTTCCTGGTTTTGTTACAGTAGAACACTTGTTTTCTTTTTTTCCCCATAATTTTATTGATAAACAAATAGCAATGAGACAGTTGCAAATCAAGTCAGTAGAATAGTTTCAATAATTAACACACTGCATACATTCTTCCTAGTGGTTAATTGCTGTACAAGAATCATTCTATTCATGAAGAGAATGTAACTATATATCTATCCAAACCACTTTGAATACACAGATACAATCGTCTGTATACCCTTTTTTTGTTAAGTTCCGTTATTTGAATATTATAGGTGTGTAAACTCAGCAGAATATTCTAAAAGAGTCCAGTAGCCCATAATAGTATTGGGTCTTCCACTTGACTGGCAATGTCAGAAATTGTTGACCTGAGTCCCCCACAGCTCAACATAACAGCATGGCTTTACTTCTTATATTTCATTTTTATACTTTTCTGCTGGATGGTTAAGACCAAGGTAAAGCAGGACCTATGCAACAAGAGTTGTAGCTTTTGGATCTCATAAGGTCAGTGGAATCCCCTCAGGATTTATCCCGAGATTCTGCACCTCAGATTGTAGAACCTTTGTCAGTGACACTTGTTTTCTACTTTAGGATTTAATGAGCTAGTCACAAAATCTGAGACAGAATAAAATAGAGATCTTAAAAAAATATTCAGAAGAAATGGAAAGCTTATTTTCAGTGAAACCTGAAGTAGAAATTTAATATATAAGATAAAGTCTATCAGCTATATAAATTTATTGCTTGAAATTTTAATTTATACTATTTCCTTAAAATCCTATCAGTGAGAAGAGAATTAATTAATATTTATATGAGTGCTTGATATCAAAGACTTTGGATGACAGTCATAATCTACTGCAGTCAATATTCAGTTTGGCTATGTATTCTGCATTAACTTCAGAAAATTCTGATACACAGAGGCATCACAAAAGTGTTTTTCGCAAATTAAGGGAGTACTTTAAAATCTTGCCTTGCATTCTCGTAGCACTTTCCAATTAAACAAAGAGGCTAGCAGAAGATTTATTGCTTGCAGCACTATTTCTGTTTTAGAATGTACTTGAATGATGAACTTATGTAACATTCTGGGAACACCCTCTATAGGATAAAGCATGCAGACTAATGAATTACTAATGGAATTCCTCCATGTTCATGGATTGAAGGCTTATAATTAGTTTTTGCCCAGTCTCACTGGGATCACTTATGAGAATTCTGGGTTGGTGAGTCTTCCTTGATTCAGAAGAAACTCACCAGATCTTACATATTTTTCTGGAGGAAAGAGCAGATGGAAGAGGAGGAAAGTAAGAAAATAGTGCACTTGATGAAAATAATTCTTTCACCAAAATATCTGCCTAGGTAGATATTAAAGCTCTTCCTTGGTGGCCAGTGAGATAACTCGTGGTCTAAAGCATCTGCCTAGGCAAGCTTAGGCAAGAACACAAGGACGGTGTTTTGATCCCTAGAACCACGTGCTGCTCCAGCCCATCCCCTAAGGGTAGGCTGAGATGGCAAAAAAAAGGATCTTCCTGAACCCTAGGAATCTAAAGACAGAGAGCAAAAAGAGACTAGAAACACCAGGAACTTTGAGAGACACATCCACAGTTCTCTGCATCTTTGGCCCAGGAAATGCCAGCAAACTCCTTCCTATTGGGTATGTGCATTAGAAGGCAGGAAGAAGGGAGCCTTCTATGTACTAAGGCACAAGGAGGCTGGGGTCTCAGTCTGTGTGGTTTACTAACATTCTACCTCCTTCCTTGACCTTTGGGCCTATGGAAAGGATGGCCGTATAAACTATCATATGAACTGTAACACCAAGGGAGAGCTAAAGCTGGTGCCATTAATACTTAGATGGGTATGCTAACTGAAAGCCAGATTGTCACCAGGTAAGCTGTAGGTGGAGAGTGGTCACCTGCTTAAGGAACTCACCTCTTGCCTCATAGAAGCTATTGCTCAAAAGAAGGTAGTTTCTAGACATGTATCATGTCTAGGGAATCTTGTAGTATTCAGTGAATCTTGACCACTTTAGCTCTTAGCACCCCATCTTGGTGCTAAGAGCTGAACCCAGGATCTCTCATATACTAAGCTTACACTC